TTGAACCTCCTAATTACGACGGAGATTGAAAATGCGTTTTTAGAAAATTTCAAAAACAAAATTTTTACTTTTGGCTGAACACGTTGGCACTTGAACCTCCTAATTAAGACGGAGATTGAAAATGCGTTTTTAAGAAATTTCAAAATAAAATTTCTATTTTTGGCACTTGAACCTCCTAATTACGAACAGGACAGCGGTTAAAGACAGTATGTATGTGTGTGTGTGCGCAAATATGCACTTCGGCTCGTTTCGTTATTGCGTGCCACGCAAATTACACAATGAACACATTTTTGCCGAGGGATTTCTGAATATTCGTAGGCGGAAAATATATCTATGCACACCAAACTGGAACAAGCTGTGCGGAAATTGACAGCGAATTTTCACCTTAAATTCAACAGAAACACCAACAATGGCGGCGCCGGCTCACCTGAAAACTAATTTGAATGCTTCGAAAACTGCAATTGATTTTTCAACACGTCACCGCGTTGCACTTGGCAGTCTGCTATACAATGTGCAGTTAGTTTTTTTTTTATACAATTCGATTGCACCGTTTTGATATTTCGGAAAACACTTCACACGTTACACTGTTACTTTATATTACACGTACTTTGAGATGTGCGGTTTCTCAACTACATATATACATGTATGTATCTATGTACCTTTTTGTATGTATGTGCGTGTATCTATGCGGGCCAGCGCGGCGACAGCTTGCGGTACTGGCGACGTGTTTCCACAAATTTTTTTCTTTTACAAATAAATATTTATATTTCACCTCTGCTTCTTGCTCTATATACTTTTTCTATAGTTTACAGCTTTTTTTTTTCAATGAAAATTTTTAATGCTGTTTTAATTCCAGCTTTGACTTGAAGCACTTTTTCACTTCGTCAATATGTGTGTGTTTTTTTGTTTTTTCTATTTTATACGATTTCTTGCACTCTTTTTCCTTTCCTTTCCGTTCTGTGATGACGACACAGAAATTACACTTTGATTCTTTAGGAATTCGAAATTCACGCTCGTTACCGACGAAGTCTCAACTGGAAATGATTTCATGCGCCGCTCAAAAAATCGCTAAAACTCAAAATGCCGAGCTCATAATGTCCGTAAGTAAGTGAGTAGCTACGTGTGCACAATTTGGTGTTTGCTAAAGAGCGCTTCGTACTGAGATACACCTTAGACTTACATATTACATAGACCCAGGCATACATACATACATATATATATGCGTATGTGTACTGGTATGAACCACAAAGCAGTTATTAAAAAAGTAATAAAAGTCGGTAAGGTGGGCGGCATATACGATGATGCATGCCTTCAACATTTACAGAGCGCCAAGCGTACGAGAGCGCAAACTTACAAACCGCGTAGAGCACACTGAGACCGCGGCTAACAATGTTGGCAAACAAAAACAAAGAATTGTGTATAAAAATGAGCAAAAAACACACAAAAGCCGGCACTCGCTGTCTGACAAGGTGAAAGAGTGAATAAGTGGTAGAGATGAAAATGTAAAACAAAGCACGAAAACACGTTCTCGGCAAGCGAAAAGTGAACAAGGCCTATGAAATCAGTTAAAATTTTTGGTTAAGCATTGCATAAAATTGTGTTTATGAAGGTTAAGTTTAGGTACACTACACTATCAGATACTCCTAAGTCTATTAACAAGCCATAAATAGGGTAATAAAATTTATTTAAATAGTGTTTTATTGGTATTAACTGAGAAAATACTTTACATCGATTCACTTATTTAAAGACACTTCACTTATTTAAAGATTTTAGGCAACCTAAACCCTCTGAAGAAACCTGAAAAAAGTAGCTCAACATCCCAAGTCTCTAATATCTCACAAGCCTTCCAAGAGCATGTCCAATATATGCCACAATCGAAATAGCTGGACAACCCGTGCTTTTCGTACCCAGATCGAGATATGCGCCGAAAAACTTATACGAAATTTATATTATCAACGAGTAGCATGGTAATAGTGCTCGTTTGGATATTTTTCAAAGATTGTAGAGCCGACCGAAACTAGACTTTTAGGATAACAATACAGTAAGGCTAAATACAAAAAATCTGGGTATAGTTTTGGTATTAAGAAACGGCAAAAAAATATCGAGAAGACTTTTTCCAGCGAGAGACCAATAAAAAAATGTTCCTTACAAAAGCGCACAGAAGAAAGCATAAAGCAATTATCAACACTAGATTTTCGTACTTGTTATAATTTACACGCTTCTAGTTCGGTTTTTGAAATCAATGACCCCAATTTTGCTTTGTCATTGAACACTATTAGCTGCGAGCCCCTTTGATCAGTTAACGATTATCGATAAAAAAAAGAAAATCACCGAAGAAAAATTGCATTAAACCTAAAGAAAGTATGCAACATACAAGAAAATAGAAAATAAGCTAAATTCACGGCTTAGAGCTAGCAACCTTACCACAGAAATGGTAAAAGTTAATACCTAAGTAGACTCAAAGCAAAGTCAAAATTGTTGTAGCAAAAAGAGATTTATTGTCGACGAGAAAAGCTTTCTTTAACGCATTAACCTTTTTGCTTATACGAACCAAGAGCTGGCTTAATTAGCAAGCATACATGCGCATAAACCTCCAGACTACACATTAGGAACCACAAAGACCGAGGTGAAACTCACAAAATTTTGATTGTACACAAAAAACATGCCGGCATGTGCAGTTTCCCTCGAGCATTCGGCAGACATTGGCACACACACACACATATATACTTATATATATATATAATATATATATGGTATACTAGGCCACCAAAAAAGCCGGTGACTTTGACGCATGCAGTCGGTGGGAAAGGCAATGCGACAAAGAGCAACCACTAAGTGCAACCAAGTGAGAAGTGGAAACAAAAACAAAAAAGATGAAAATTAAAGTTGAAAAGCGAAACGATAAATGAAATACAAAGAAACAGCTGACCCGTGCGGCGAAACAGAATGTAAGAATAAGCCGACGCGCTTCAGTCGGCCAGTTAACCATTCGTTGTTATGTGTTAACAATTCGCCATAAATTCCAGCATACTGCGGAGCGAGAGCGCACTGCAATGCCGTACGAGTGGTGAGTCGGCGTTTGTACAATGTGGAGCGCTTTTGAAACCGCGTGGTGCTGCCAAATTTATAGTTGATTGCAGACCAGCCCCACTCTAAACGCAAGTGCCAAGGAATGCTCAGTTAAAGAATCGTACTCTCACGTGAGCATATTTTCGCTCCACGAGTATACCGAAGAGTCATCATTGTGATAGCTCGGCGCCTGTTGATGGTGATAATAATGATGATGTCATTTGGCCAACACGCTTCACATACATATGCCCGCACATTGTTTCTCGTTCTATGTGTGCAAATGTGTTGGCATGGCTTTTGTACTCTGCTATCATAGTTAACTTTAGCGACATGTGCTTCCGCACTATGCTCACTCGGTTGTTGTTTTATTTTGATCACAAATGCTGGTCGAAACCTTCATTTAAATGCTGTAAAACAGGCGAGCGTGATGAGGCAATTAACGTAACCGAATTTCGCTCTCTTAACACATTCGTCTGTGCGTTTTTATAGCGTGTTCTTATATCCTGACCTGTCCAGATGGGTGTGGTGCGTGTTGCTGGCACTGCACCGTAAAAGGCATAAATGGTGAATACAACAAAATGTGCCGAACAACTTTTCTAACAACTTTTGCCGGCCGGCAGCCAATTCGTGCAAAATAAAAATAAACGAAAAGTGAAAAACGCAAACCGGAATGAAAAGGCCAGACGAAATATACATATGCCGAATGTGGAATGCTTGTACGAGTACAGTGGTCTTAAGTCGATTAAATTTCGTTTAATTAAAAATAAAATTTGAAAAGAATTTTAAAAATTAAAAATAATAAATTAATAATATAAAAATATAAAATAAAAAAAAATTTATAAAAACAAAAAATTCATCAAATTAAATAAAAATAAAATATAAAAAAACTATAAAAACAAAAACAAAAAAAATTAATAAAAATAAAATAAAAATATAACACAAGAATCATAATTTGAATCTTAAGCAAAGCAAAACACTAGAAAAATACTGGTAACTGCAACCCTTAAATTTTTTTTTTCAAATCGTATTTGAATAGTTAAACCGTTATAATTTCAAAATTCACACTCACCTGCACATTGCCGATGGCATGTGTCAATTTCTGTATATTGAAATGCAGGCCAGCCAGATTCTGTACGGGTTCATCGCTAAACTTGCTGCGTTCAATGGTTGCTTTAACGCGCTCCACCGATTGCTGGTACTCACGCCAACGCTCGACCTCTTTCTCCAATTCGCCTTGCTGCGATTTGGCAGTTGCAATGGTATTGGCCAATTTAGTTTGATGTTGCGCCAATTCGCGTGACAATTCCGACTGTTCGAAGCTGCTCAGCGAGGGCCAAATCTTATCGGCAGCTTCTTGGATTTGTTTATGCACCAAATTCTTAATTGGTGTCTCATTGCCGAAGAAGATCTTATGTTCTTCCAAGTCTTGTACAAGATTTTCATAGTCGATGCCATGTTGGCTATTCTGTAGGCGTGTCTCAGCTTCGTGGACCCAATCATTGAATTTGGCCACCAATTTCATGTATTCAAGACGTGAATCGCGATTGTTGATCAAGTATTTCTCGCGATCTTCAAGCTCTTGTGGCAGTGAGGAGACTAATGAGCGACCTTCGGATAGCATTTCAACCAGCGAGCCGGGCATGCCAACCTCTGTTTTGACGCTAGCATTGATTTTGTCGAATTTATCGAGATATTCCTGAATTTCGTTGCGTAGTTTGTGATGTTTCTGAATTTCATGTTCTACAGATTCAGGATCACGATCCAATAGAGGACGTGACTTGGCAGACGCTTCATTATTATGCAACCAGTCGAGAATTTCTGACAGTTCAGCAGCCATTTTGCGATGGTGTTCGAGTTGTACTTGATGTTTTTGACGTTGTGACTCGACTGCCTTGCGTAGGTTTTGTAGTTGATTCTTCAGTGATTGTAACTGTTCAGTAATGCTGTTCTTGTCGGCAGCAGAACCCTCCGATGCGATCTTCTGACCCTTATCGGTAGCAGAGGCCAACAGACCCTCACATTCTTGTATCTTCACAATAACATCGTCGTACTTGTTGATTTTGTCCTCCAAACTGTCCGGAGAATTCTCAATATCGAGTATGACATCAGTGTACTTCATGATGAAAGCAATAATCTCATTGATCAGCGCAATGAATTGCTCACGTAGCAACAACAATTGACGCAGATGAGCCAGTTGATCCTCAATCAATTTAATCATGTCATCCTGTTGCTGTAGTATACTCTGCAACTCGGGTAGATCATCCATTTGTATGTCACCCATTTTGTTCTTGCTATCCTTGAGTTCCTTCAATATACCCTCGTATGCGCCCAGCAAATCTTGTACATCCTCGATCTTTGAGCCGATCGGTTTGTTGAGCTCACGCAAACGTTGCTGTATTGTGTTGAGGAATTGCATGCAGTCAGCTAATTTACCCTTGGCATCCTTGTATTTCTTGATATGATCGGAAAGCGTATTTACGCGATCCTTAATGTTCTGTGTCACTTTACCGTAACGGTCCTTCAAGTTTTTAATGTCGTCGTTTAGTTTCAACTTATCAGGGTTGCTTAGCGTGGGCAATATACCCTTGCCTTGGTCGGCCACATTGTTCATTAAATCAGCCTTGCTTTCGGCATCCTCGAGCAATTTCTTGTAGTGAGCCATTTGTTCTTCCAACACCGGTACACTGGTTGTACGCAATTCACCAGAAGTGGCGGTTTCCATCTCATTCAACCAATCGCTCATATTCTTCATAGCATCCTCGAACGATTTACGTCCCTGCAGAAGATCGCTCAAAGCTTTAGCTCGTTTGCCGCTCTCATCCTTTAGGGTTTGATAGTCGCCGGCTATTTCATCAAGTATTTTCTGCAAAGCTGCTCTGTCTGCTTCCGGACAGTCCTTCATTATATTCGCCGCTTGACGTTGTACATCGCTCAACACCGAATCATTGAATTGCTTCGCTTCATCATCGTACTTCTTGTTCTCTTGTATTTTTTTCTCGATTTCGGATGATGGCAGTGGGTGGTACACAGGCAATTTACGTACTTCGGCAATCTTCGATTTCAACCAAGCGCGTGCCTTCTCCAAATCAACTTCCAACGCTTTACGTGCTTTAGACGCATCCAGCGCGCGATCTAATTCACTCTTGAGCACTTCAGATAGATTCTTTTGCTCAGAATTCAATTGACGCAGCGCCGACTCAAGTTGTGCGTATTCGACTGGTTCAAGCTCGGGCTGCATATTGGCAATACGTTTCTCCAAAGCGTCAGCTTGTGACTTCTTCGCTTCGGCCTCCTTCATGATACCCTTAATAGCTTGTTGACGTGCCTCAGCTGCTTTCGGTTCATAACCCAATGCAGTGGGTGTTTGCAGCTCTTGTATCTTATCCTTGACCCAGTTATGTAACTGTTCGATTTCACCCTTAGCACCCTCAACGCCTTTATTGGTAACATCCAGCAGCTGTGACTTGCGATCGATGCGTTTGCCGAGATCTGCATAACGGCGATCCAATGATTTCATTTGTTCTTCCACCTGTTGGCCATCCAAATTGCTAATAGCTTCGACAACTTGTGCTGCTTTGCCCTTCAGCTCTTGGATTTTGTTCGGACCTTGCTCTTCAAACTCTTTCTTGATTTCATTAATGGCAGCCTTTTTCTGGGCACAATTCAAACCGGAACCTTTATCCAATACATCCATACGTTTAATGAGCGAATCAAACCAGTTTTGTACATCCTGTACACCTTGGCGATAGCTATCGATATCATTCTGACCTGCTTGCTTCTTAGCAATAGCGTTCATTAACTCGGACTCGAGTTTGTCGAGGTTGTCGTCGAGATCAGTGTCCTCATCGGCCACTGCAAAAAAAAATTATGTAAAACATTAGATCGTAAAAGTACAGCGTAAGAAAATATCAAACCCTTAAAAGGTGAAGCGTTAGAATACTGCTAAGAGCGTTACTAAAAATAGAAGATTTTGAAACAAATGGCATTGCCACAAAGTTTTTAACGAGCTTTGTCGATTTAGACATGTCCGCCTGTATATATGCGAACTAGTCTTGAGATATCGTTCTGAAAATTTGCCTCTGTTCTTCTCTTACCAAGGCGCTGCTCATTTGTCGGAACGACCGATACCGGACCACCAAACCAAATAGCTGTCATACAAACTGAGCGATCGGAATAAAGTGCTTGTATGGAAATTTTTTCATTTGGCGAGATATCTTCAGGAAATTTGGCATGAAATATGGCCTAAAGCAATAATGCAATCTCCGAAGAAGTTGTTTTGATCGAACCACTATAGCATATAGCTGATATATAAACTGACCGATCGAAATCAAGATAAACATCTTTTTATACTTCTTTATGCTATTAAAAATGAACCTGTTAAGGTTTTATATAGTAGCTTTATCATTCGTAGCAACCGAAATTAACGTATTTTCCTGTTATTCATAATTTCACATCGAAACTAATACGTTATCAGATACTTACATGATCCAGTCATCTCTAACATCAGTTGTGAACGCTTATCACCAATCGAGTTCAGCAAGTCATTCATGGCAACCAACTCTTGCTTAGCTGCTTCTGGACGCAACTTGCATGGCCGTGTTAGCCAATCACTAACAGTTGTCTCCTGTTTCTTAACCCAATCTTGGAGCTCAGCGCGTTGTTTCTGTTGTTGCTCTAATTCACTCACTGAAGCGGTCAATCCACCCAAATGGGATTGCACCTAAGCAAAAGAGTTAAATAAATTTGATTTATAACTTTGTTGCTAAAACAATATTAGCAGGCATTATGAACCCAACCCGATCCAACCTAGTAGCGCATAGGAAAAAATTTTGCCCGGAGAAACCTTATCGAAAGTGTTTTATGTACAGTGTTGTTATGTGTATTTATAGCAAATTGATGAACAGAATTTTGTTTCATTGGCCAAATAAGTAAGTAAAGCAGCTTAAATTAAAAATTTAGTATGCAGCTAAAGCATTAGTAGAAGCAACGCATTTCCTGCAAAGCTGGCTTGAAAAGCAACTCAAGCGGCAAGGGACTTACCTTAGTGATTAATGCATTAAGCTTAGTTACACGCTCGCTATTGGAACGCACTGGATCATGCGAAGCATTATTGGTCTCTGGTAACTCAAGAACGACATCAGCTTTGGCGGCGATGTTGCTTGAGTACTGTGCTCGGTTACTCGGCATCTTTGCGGTATTTAAGTAGGTCAGTTTTTTTAACGGGTTTGGCGAAAGTTGTGGTTAAGCGGGCGGATAGGTATTTATTGTATTGTTTATTTTGGTTGATAAATGGCAGTGTGCATTATTGTTGTGTAAGTGCAACGGTTTACAAAAATCAGGAAAATTAATACAAAAACAAAATACATAGGTTAAAAGGAATTCTAAATTACACAAATAAATTATTAGTAAATTAAAAAGGTATTTTAAAACACATGTATTTAGCAGCAGGTGAAACTGCTCGGGTTTGTGTACTTATTTGCAAAACAAAAATGCGGTACAGCATTTACTGTTTAAGGTCTACATAGCTTTACTACATTCTGTTGTTTTTTTAGCAGCAAATTTCCCCATATAATATTTGCCTAGCCACTTACCTGATCCAACAAATCTTCCAGCTTGGCGCGCACAATGAGCTCACGCTCGGGTATGGTTTGCATGGCAGACTCTAGTGGTGAGCTGGGACGGCTGATGGAGGCAGTGGCAGCTTCACAAGCCTGCACAGCGGCAGCGAGCCGGGACTTTTCGTTGTTTAGTTTGGTTTGCAGATTCTTTATTATAAAAAACGACATAACATTAAAAAATTTAAATAAATATATTGTAAACAAATACTTAATTAAGCCTAAAATATTATATTATATGTAAAATCTTAGTAAATATTTGCTTTGCACTCACCTGCGCACACTTCAATTGCTGTTGCGCCAGCTCCAAACTTGTCGCGGGCGCATCCAGCTCATTTTGTATGATCGGTTCATAGGCCTCCAAATTGCGCATTATACTATCCAGTGTGTCTTCGTATTCCTTGAATTTGGCCAAGGACTCATGCAAGCGATTCCTAATCTGCACTGAGGTCTGCAACAACGAGTTGTAGCTGTCCTGTATGTTCTTCAGCTGTGACTCGACAGTGTCGCGAATTGCTGGTGTTGTCGGCTCATAACGTTTGATTTGTGCTTGTCCTTTTGAATTCAAATCGTCCAAATTGGATTGATACTTTTGAATTTCATCCAGTAAAGCTTCGTGTTGCTTGATTTGTTCTTCAGTTTGTTCGCGATTCGAAATGAACAACGAATTGTGTGCCATCAATTGGAAGGAAATTTGCAACAGCCATTTCTCGATATCCTGCAAGCTCTGATGATAGGCATTGTAGTCGGCCATTTCGTTCTCCAAACTCTTAATGTAGGCTGCGCAATCGTTCTTTACTTTCTCCCAACGTGTCTGCTTTTGGTGTACCGCATCTACTTCGGTACCTAAGCCCTTGGCTTCGCCTAGTAGATTTTCAATATCAATGCCCTTTTGTTTGATTTCGTTTTGTAGTGTCTTGTAGCGTTCGAGTAGTGTCTTCATTTCGCTTAGTTCACCCTTAGTGTCGGGCACAGTTTTGAGTGTGTTCTCAGTATTGACGAGCCACTTCTCGAGCTTATCACGATTGTTGGCAAAGTCGGACCAGCGATTTTGTGCTTGCTTCAAGTCACTCAACTTCTGCTTGACAGCTAGTCCCAATGTGTCCCAATCTTCACGTACTTTAGTCATCAAATCACGCAGTACCTCTTGCTTGCCTTCGGGAGTTATATTCGATGCTTTCGTGTACGCCTCTTGTACCATACCGAGCAAATGTTGACCCTCAGGGAGACGTGACGCCAAAGACTGTGAAAAGAGTGGAGAAGTAGGTTAAGAATTTTTAAGGTGACCTAATATATAATCGTTATCGACTAGAAGAGACTGTAATATCAGTAGCCCCAGGAACATACGAAAAGCAGAAGGCAAAAAATACAATTTTTCCAACAAAGGCATATATTGAAGTCAAAAAGTGTTCAAAGAAACTTCTGGAGCTGCTTAGGGTTCACTCTGAATTCAAGAGAGTATACACGGCAACCTTAGACGAGGTTCTCGAACACTGTCTCCATTGTGGATACATACAATAAAGCTTACTATGAGAGTAAACCTGTTTCATTTTAACTTCGGCTCTACCACAAACAAGGGTTGGGGTGAGTTAGCTGTAGTAAAAGTCCCAAAGTCCAAAAATACTGTTTTTTAGTTATATATAATTTTCTAACACAAGTCATGCAAATTCCTTCCACCTAAAAAGGATTTAATAAATCTGTATGAACTTACGTTGACTGTCTCCAGTTGTTGTGCGATTTCGCTAACATCACCATCTACAGTGCAGCCATCAAGTATTTCTTGCGCCTTCTCAATCCATGCGTCCATTTCCTTCTTATAATTCAAGAACTCGGTGTGATCTGAAAGATTCTTTTCGATTTTGGAAACGAGACCTGAAAAAAGAAGATAAAATTGTTAGTCAATTCAATGGGCCTTTAGTCAGAGATTAAGCATCCACCTTGCGCCAGTGTAAGCAGTTTAGTGTAGTTGGACTGGGTTTCCACGGTCTGATCACGAACTCGAGTGCATGCGCTGTGTTCCATAAGCAATTCACAAGCATCGTTCAGGTCTTCGACATTGTCCTTCTCCGCTACAACTTCCTCCAATAGTTTCTGTGCAGAAAATCAAAATATCAGTTAATGTAAAGTAGATATTCGGTTGTTTATTTCGTTTAAAAGTTATTACTCGAATTTAGTGATTACAGAAATTTATTTTATTTAGATCTGAAAAGCATTGTGTTTTGTACACTGTGTTTTGTGGGTGAGTCGTTCTAGGATTATGTGTAAGTTTACGATGACTGCTCGCAATAAGCTTAGTTGATTAGTTAGTTACAATAGGTGCACAGCTTACGTGAATGGTTAATACATAGGGAAAGTGTTAGTGGAGACACATGAATGAACTTACCTTGGCATATGCCAAGTCGTCGGGTGTTTTATTGTCGGCTTCGCCAGCGGTAGCAACACGTCGGCTAATATCTTCAATCCATTTGTTAATCTTAATGAAATTCTGCAAGAATGAATTCCACAAACCGAGGCAGGTTTCCAAATTGGAACGTGCATCACGCACCATTGCCTGCAGTGCCTCCCATTCGGCAACCAATTGTTTGATTTCTTGCGAGACGGTATCTTGACCTTCATTACCACTTGTGGCAATCACTGCTTGACTCAATTCTTCACAGGCGTCTAGCAGTGATTTACCCTCGACCATGCTAGCTCCAATATCACCCAATTTATTGAGACGTTCTTCTACTTGTGCCTTTTCACCATGACAGTCAGCACACTGTTCTATCTCAATACGTGTGCGTCGCAGCCAATCTTGTATTTCATTGAATGCTTGCTTGTATTTGTCATGGTTATTGACTTGATTTTCGAGCGACTCGATGATTTTACCAACGGTCTCTTGCAAGTTCTCATATTTGCTGAGACCATCGCTGAAGTCTTTACGGTCAAGACTGTTATCTTCGTTCAAGCGTGTGTTAATCTTCTCAACAATATCATTATGACCGTTTATATCACGTTGTATGGCACGGAATTTCTCCAATGCGGCACGCTTTTCACTTAAATCGTTCAAGAACTCGTCGCTCGTCTTGACGCTCGGTTCGACATCTTCAAGCCATTCGGTCAGCAGCTTAAGTAGTTTGTAAACTTCCTCCAATTGTGACAGACGATTTGCCAGTTTCTGACGCACGTCATTCATGTCGACAAGCAGTTTATCGAAGTCTTGTTTCAAAGTTTCAGTGTCCTCTTGCACTTTGGTAGCACCACCTTGTTCAGTGTTCATGATTACCTTCTCTTTCAGTTCGAGCAGATAACGTAGCTTGTTCTGACCCGACTCAAAGCCTTGACGCAGATTTTTAACAGTGTTGAGTTTGATTTGTACCTCATTCAGTGTGCCAGGTATTTGTGCACACTCCTCAAGTTTCTCGCGTGTAGTTTCAATCCAAGATTGGCATTCCTCATACAAAGTGCGATGCTGTTGGTGTTCTTGATAGTGCAACTCTAAACGACGCATCACTTCCTTGGCCAGCGCCAGTAGAGCATTGTATTTGGTTGTCAACTGCATAATAGCGTTGCTGATGCGTGTGTCCGAGCAGGTCTCCAGCAGCATTTGTGCCTTCATATTCAGGTGATCTAAAGTTTTCTGCCAGTCGAAAAGCGTTTGCAAATGACCTTGGAACTCTTCCAACACCACCTTTTTGCGTGTTAAACTGTCTTGTAATTTGTTGTAGGATTGCACCAATGCTTCGGTTTTGGTAAGCCATTCTAATGCTTCGCCATATTGATCTTGGTAGTCTGACCACTTGACAATACCAACTTCCAAATAATCCTTAGCTTTCGTGAGTGCATCTACGTAGGCATCGAACTCTTCTTGCAACAAACCAACTTCTTCTTCAATAATCTCGCGATCTTCTTGTTCAGCATTGCGTGCAGCGCTCTCACCCTGCATTAATACAGCTTCCAATTTCTTTTTACCTTCTGGCACTTCACTTTGCAGAATCTTCAGTTGATGTGTTTTCTCAGCCAGTGCTTGTTTATCGCCAGTAGGCTCTGAGCACTTGCTTAAACGCTCCTTAGCGCTGCGCAACCATGCAGCGAACTCGTTACCCGCATCAATGAGTGCCTGGAATTCGTCGATTGTTGTCTTTTGCTTTTCATATAGATCCTTTGCTTGTTTGGTGAGTGTTTCATATTTGTTGGAAATTTCTGAGGCAGGAGCGCCCTGTTGTAGGTCGGATGCCTTCGAAGCCACCGATTGTATCATTGGTTCGAAAGAGACTATATCTTGCACAATATTATTAGTTTGTCGTAGATTCGCTTTACGTTCACTCAAACCGGATGTGAGACCAGGTTGACCACGTTTTGACTTCACAACCTTCTGGTCACAAGCCTGTTGCAACTTACTCTCACGATCGGTAATCCATTGTTGCAATTGTGAATAGCTCGAGCTATAATCGGCCCATTGAAGTAGGTTGGTTTCCAATTGTACCTTGGCGGTTGACATTTTCTTAACTAACCTATCCCAATCGTTCTGCAAATCTCTCATTTCACTGTTGATCGTATCACGACCATCGGAGCGGGTGTTCCTCACCACCTTTTCGCCGTTGTTGATCGCTGTGTGTACCAGGTTCTGTCCAATTTCACGATTGCTTATCAATTGTTGAATCTTTTCTAGCCGTTTCTGCAACAGCTCTTTCGAACCTGCGCTGGAGGATTCACTAGCTTCGCGTATTGCAGCTTTGGCATCATTTATCCAGTCTTGCGCAGCCTTCAAGTTTGCGTTATATTCACGATGTTGATCACGATTAGTCTCAACTTTCTTTAACACATCCTTAGCAAGATTGACTTGAACTTGATACATTGAGTTCAAGTGTCTCAGCTGGTTGTTGACGTAGGATTCCAAGTGTGATTTTAGTAATCCCGCAGAAGAGGCATTAAATTTGTCAATATCTTCTTTGCCATTCTCCAAACGCGCCAAAACTTCAGCCATATCAGCAGCTTGCTTCTCTTTGTCTGGCAAGCTTGGCGCTAAATTCAACTTGTGATTCTTTACAAGTATATCGATTTGTTGAAGCCATTCAATTAAGCGCTCATACTCATCCTTGTAAGCGCGCCATTGCACCATAGTTACCTCCAAGCTTTCCTTTTGTTGATTAATCTCACGGAAGAGTGACTCAAAACTATCCCGCAATGCGCGTATATCATTACGAATGATTTCTTGTCCCTGTGGTGATGTGCTGGTCAATACGACCTCACCAGTATGAACCAAATGTTCGACCAATAGTTCACCTTGTGCCTGTTTGTTTAACATGGCTTCAGTGGCTTGCACTGCATTCTCAATGGCCAATTTGTCGCTTAGACTGCTCTGCTTAAGAGCAGGGAACTTCTCACGTGCACGACTAATCCAGCTAACCAAATCGTCATACGCTTCCTTGTAGAGACGATGATCTCTATATTGATCATGACGATCGGAGAGCAATTTTTGTGTGCGAACATATAATTCGTCAAAGGTGTCTAGTACTTTTTGCGCTTGGAACGCGGCTTGGCTTTGCTGTCCGCTAGCAATCATCTCCTTAGCCTGCACTTTCAGTGCATCAACGTCGATCTTTTCTACGCGCACCTTCTCTTCGGTGGCCTTGATGCGGTCGAGTTGCGCACGCTTCTCAGGCATGGTAGTTTGATTTTCAGAGAGTTCTTTTAGTACATTCTCAAGCCATTCATTGAATTTGCGTACATTTTGTACCTGTTCCAAGAATCCTGACCATTGAGTTATAGAGTCATCCAAGGTGGCCTTTACATCGATGATACGTAATGTAATATTAGACCACAATTCTTGTAGATCTGTCAACTTTTTGTTGATCGCTTCGTGGCCAGTCGGTGCTGTATTGGCAAGCACATTCTGTGCCAATTCAACAATACTAAGTACTTTTACAGAACCTTCATCCTTCAATAATATGATATCTTGTATGGTTGCCAACTTCTTATCCAACTCTTTTTGACTCATAGAAGACATATCAGCGCAGTAATCCAATTTGTCTTTGATGCCATTAATCCATGTGGCGCATTCAGAGACGGCGTTGTCGAATTCCTGATGTGAAGTCACATACTGTTGCCAACGATTATTCAGTTCTTTTACTTTGAGGAATATCTGCTGATACTTGGTTGTTAATTCAGGTCCAGATGAGCGCATGCTGGAGGCACCTTTCAGTAATAGCTGACCTTTTTCGGAAACGCTATCGATTTCCAGCTCCTTAGCACGCATTTCACCTTGCAAGTTCTTTAATGCTTCCAACTGAGCTTTCTTTTCATCGAGTGTTGGCTTGAGATCAATCGCGTGTAACTTGTTGTCGGATTCTCTAATCCATGCCAAACATTGATCGCGTAATTGTTCATATTCCGCCCATTGTTGTAAACGATTTTCAATAGCTTCAATGGTTGATGTAATGGCTGCGATTAGACCTTCCCACTCTTGTTGTGTGGTGTCGATTTGTGACTTGATGTTTGTCTGTCCACTCTCGACAGTGCCAGGAATAACCTTTTCACCCAGAGCACGCACTTGATCGACACGTGGAAACTCATCCGCCAAGCTGTCTTTGAGGTTCTTCAAACGATCCAAATTTGTATGGAGTGAAACCTGTTCCAAATCCAAATCGCCCCAATAGTCAATGGTGTTATGTGTGGCCTCAATGTACTCCTGTGCTTCCATAACGGCTTTAGTGTATTGTTGATGATCACTCACAATGGCTTCATAGCGTTCCACGAAGTTTTGTGCACGCTTATGTATTTTAGCAAATTGTTCGACAATTTCTTTGGTAATATTATCAACATGGTCATTTTGCTCTGGCAAATTGCTTGCGATTTCTTGCAAGTTCTTCACCTCAACTTGATGATTATTGAGATCATTGAGAATGTCACGATATGTTTGCAATTTGGCGCGTTTCTCGTCCAAAGTTGTTTTCAATTCTATATCGGTTGGTAGTGTTTTCTCGATTTCGTTCAGCCAGTTTTGCAATTTCTCGGCGATTTCATCGAAACCAGACCATTTGGACATCTTGTCCTGTAACTTACGCGAAGTAATTGTTACATTGTCATAGAGCTTATCGAAAGCTTCTTGCAGCTCTGCCAATTGTACGCGTATTGCCTCACGACCTTCTGTGGCCGTTGAAGGATAGCACTTCTCACCCGCTTCAATGGTGCTGTTCAACATCAACGAAGCATTGGGTTGTTGTGTCAACAGCTCTTGAATTGCAGTCTGTTTCTTCAAAAGATCGTCACGAGAACCCACCTGCGATAGGTCACTAGAGTCATCGTATTTCGCTTGAGCGTTGGCTAGAAAATCTGAACACTGCTTGTATTTCTCATTGAATTGTTGATGATCATACACAGATTGTTCACATTTCTTGAGAATCTCTTTTGTTGTTGCTTGTATAGACTGGAAGCGTGAGGTAACTTGTTGAACATTAACGGCAATTCTAGTTTCGCCTGAACTTTGAATGAGCTCCGAAGAATCGTCTTTCATTTTCTCAAATTCAATTTCATTCTGACGCAAGTTCTGCATTAGTGATTGGAAGCGGTTCAATTGTTCTTCTTTCTCTTCCATTGTGGACTTGGGATTGTAATTCTTGAGAGCATTCTCAGCTTCACTCAACCAATTGATCAAACGATCCAAGTTCACTTCGTAATCGCTCCATTGCTGCAGACGATTCTCAAGACCGCTCTTCACATCGCTGAGCGCAGCGCTGAACTTATCGAAATCGGCATGCAAATTAGCCAGGTCTCGTGACATCGCCTCTTTGGAACGCGCCGGCAACAACTTGGCCTTCTCATCAATATGTGCGGACAGATTTTGTAGTTTTACCACACCTTCGGGTAAAGCATCTTGAATTTCACATATCTTACTTAGGCGCGCTTGTAAAGCCGGCTTATTGCCAGAATAATCCGAATAGCCGGTCAAACGATCCCACAAATTCTTTTGATAATCCTGTTGTGCCTTCTGCAATTCACTGAACTGTTGATACACATCGAATGCTTCCTCGAGCTCACCAAGCAATTTGGCGCAATCGCCCGCTACTTTCTCGTAGCGCTTGTTAACATCAGCGACGGAATTCTTGATCTCAGCGGCATTTGCTGGTACCGTGCCCTCCAACAGCACGGCAGCCTTTTCGTTCACAGCTTCAATGATGCGTTTATGCGAGTTAATATCCTGTGTGGTAGCTTTGTATTTGTACAATTTGGAGCGTATTTCCTGCGCACTTGTCCAAGTGCTGGGATTTTCATTCTGCAATACCTTTTCAATTTGATCCAACCAGTTGACGGTCTGTCCAAGAATATCATGATAGCTTGACAGCTGCACACTTTGTGCCTCCTGCCGTTTCTGCAGATTACGTATACCATCATCCAATTTATCCCAACGCTCGTGTATGTCACGCAGATCTTTACGTATCTTCTCACGACCCTCAGTCGATGTTTCGGGTAATGCTTTTTCACCAGCAGCATTTAATGCGCTAAATAAGGTTTCAGCTTGTTCTTTTTCAGAGAGTAGAACTTGCAAAATGTTAGCGGCTTGTGAGGGTTCGTTTTTCAACGCATTCTCTAGCTGATGTTCGATTGGTTGGAGCCATAGATCAACTTCATTGTATTTGTCTTGATATATTTGATGATCGTCCACCAAATTCGACCAGCGATTGACAACTTCCTTGCTCAACACTTGCAACAGTTGATAACGATTTGTGATCTGTATAGTTAGTGTCTTCAGTCGTTCGGCGCCGCAATTATTTAGCAATGCATGTGCAGCATCTGCAAAAGCATCAATTGCCTTCTCCTTTTGCAAAATCAGATCTCGTTGTATTTTATATTTCTCGAGTTGTTCCACCTTTTCGTGCAAAGTAGATTTCAATTGTTGTTCACGGAAGACACCCTCGGATTGGCGGCACCACTTCGTTAATTCTTCAAGTTTGCTCTCGAAGTCATTCCATTGTTGCAGCACATCCTTTTGTTTGCCTTCGATGCCTTCGATATCATCAAAGTGACTCTTTATGGTTGTTTCGAGTTCATCGATTTCCTTTGCTAAGATCTCATTACCCTTTTCTGAAGTGTTGGCTTTAACCTTGTCGAATTGCTGACGTATATCATCGACTAGCTTCTGTGCTTGCGGTTTATTCTGTGCCAACTGCACCAAGGTCTCAATCTTACGCTTGATGTCAGCCTTTTCACCATAGGCATCGTCACATTCCAACAACTTTTCCTTCTCACCAGATATCCAAGTTTTAGCGGCTGCCACTTGATGGTTTAGCTCGGTGTGCTCTTGCACGCATTTTTCTAAATTGTTTAGAATTACTTCTGATTTTTCTACGATGCCATTGAATATTTGTTTAAGCGATTGCAGGTAAACATTTAGCGTGTTGTCATTGATTTGATCAATCAAAATCTGCGCCTTGTCGCACACACTATCCACCAGCACATTATGTGTGGTGATTTCCTGGTGAAGTAACTTGTGGTTCTGGAGTTGTGCTCGCTTTTCTTGTAGTGTCGTCTTTGGCTCGGTGTGGCTCTGCATTGCCTTATCCACATCCTTTAACCACTTCGCCAACTGATCTCTGGCAATATTGAAGTCGTTGAATTGTTGTAGGCATTGATCGATCTTTTGCGTGGCCGCATTCAAATCATCGGAGTAATTATCCCACATAGTACGTAATGTACGTAATTGCTGCCGAATGATCTCGCGACCATCGGGGCTTGTATGTCCGTACAGTTTTTCGCCACGATCCACCAAGCTCTCGAATGCGGTGGAGTCGTTGATACGTTTATCCGCCATCTCTCGCAACTTGTTCTGACGATCTTGCAACACATTTTGGTCACCAACAATCTCACTATTTTGTAACAATTCTTCTACGCATTCTTGTAGATCACTTTTGAAAATCTCATAATCAGTATCAAATGTTTCGTGATCTTTTGTGTAGTTGACATACTTCGCAATAGATTCCTTGCAGAGATTTTTCAAAGTTTGATAGCGTGTATTTAAGCGAGATAATTTAAGATTCAAATCGGTTTCACCTTCAATTTCACGACCCTGATCGAGTAGATCATTAATGGACGTAGCACGTTGTTCAATGTCTTTGGCGATGTTTTTTAATTGTGCCAAATGTGCTTTCTTCGTGCCGGCCGTACTTTTAAGACTCTGATTCTTTACAACATTCTCAACATCCTTCATCCAGTTATCGATCTCATCGATTATCGACTCAAACTCATCCCATTTGGAACACAGCTGTTTCAGCTTGACGAGTGAGTCTTGACAGAGCGTCATGAAGTCTACCCACGCTTTCTTCGGCTCCTCAAAGCTGCGTAACAAAGCAGGATGACCGTTGGGATGTGTTTGTGTTAGCACTGTATGTAATAGCTGCTGGCATGTATCGAATATAGAGTCACCTTCAGGCTTATGTTGCAATAGATTTTCAACAACAGTCAACTTTTCTTCTGCGCCTTCTTTTTCGAAAGTTGTCTCATTCAAAATGTCAATGGCTTCAGATTTGATGGTATTAAGCCAATCCTGTGCTTTCTCCAACACCTGATCGTATGCCTCATGTTTAACAACCTGGTTACCAACCACATTGATCCGGTCGGCGATCTTCTTTGACAAACCATTATACTCTTCAATAGACTCTTCAGTCTTGCGTTCGGATTCATCATCGCATAGTGTCACAGCCTTATCATGTAACTGTTTGAGTGCATTCTTATGCAAAGTAATCTCTTGCAACTGTGTCTTGTAATTCTGCAAAGCACTCTTCTTAGCCGCCAATGTGGGATAAAGTTCGTCAGCAGCAGCGACCTTGGCTTTGGATTCATTGAGATAGTGTGATACCTGGGTGTAACTCTCTTCAATGGTTGTCTTCTGTATCAATACTGCTTCAACCTGTTGCAGAAGCGCGTTAGCCTCATCACGCAAATAGTCATAGTTTTCGCGTATATTACGTAACTCCGCACGTATCTTTTCACGATACTCAGGTGTTACTATGGGATACAATGCTTCGCCAATATCCACAGCATTATTCAATAGAATTTGTCCATTATCGAAGGTCTTCAAATAATTCTTAATTGTTTGTAATTGCTGTGCAGTGGCCGAAGATGAGCCGGGCGAACCCATACGTGCCAATTCCTGGAATTCAATCTTGGCATCAGACAACCAATCATTGAATTCTTTTGCGGCAGTTACAAAATTATTATTCGCACGCTGTGCATTATGCACTTTATCAACGTAGCCGGCCAAGCTTTTCGCCACAGTCTGGTAGCGCTGTAACAAATGCGTGACAAACTGACTAATGCGTGCTTCAGGATTTTTCTCCATCAATAACTGCGAAGTCTTCTCCAAATTCTTTACAACCGGCTCATGTGCCGCAATATCCTGCTGCAACAATGCGAGTTCTTGCAACTTTTTCTCGATTTCTGGCACATTGACTTGATTGCTAGTCTCGGCCTTGATGCGTCCCTCAACATCACGCAACCATGCGGAAAGCTCCTCATTGGATTGCTCATATTGCGACCATAAATCTACATTTTCATCGAGCACATTCTTGATTTTGTCGAAACTATCTTGCAGTGCTTTCATTTCACCGTTCAACAATTGGGCGTCCTTTTGTAGGTCTTTCAGGTTTTGTGGCGATTCCACAGCTGTTAGTAGCTCCAAAGATTTACCAATATCGGCATTGCGCTTGTGACAGTCATCAATCGCTTTGCTTACCTCCAAGAGGGACGAGCGTTTCACATCCAAATTGTATTTATCACTCGTCGACTCTGGCTGACACCATGCGACCTTCTCGCGTTGTGTAGCAATTATACGTTTTAGCATGCTCACTTTGTCAGCATGGAATTTCTTAAGGAATTGCAAAAGTGATGACTCGATCTTCTTGGCATGTGTATCGACAGCCTCGAAGCGCTTTTGCACATTATTCAGCTCTTTGGGAATGATAGACTCGCTGAAAGTGGGATATTGCGAACGCATCTCATCAACTCGTTGCTTGATGTTGTCAATTTCATTAGCACTATTGTCTAATTCGGCGCGCAATTCCCGGCACTTAAGTAATCGTTCCATGATTTTGTTCGGCTCACCGGACATGTCATCACATTTGATTAACTGTTCACGCAATTTATTCACTTGTTCGCCGGCGTTCTTGATTCTCTTTCGCAAGTCTTGTTCTTGCTCATTAAAGGTAGAGGTTACAGCTTCCAAACGTGCTGCATTCGAATCGACCTCTTGGAACTGTGCAGTCAGTAGTTTATTCAATTCAGTAAGCGATGGAATTTCCACGCCATTGTTAATGCTTACAAGCTCACGACTCTTATCGGCAATAGTGTCCTTCAATACTTGGTAAGAAGGCAGTTCCGCGTGGAATTTGGTTAGACGCATTGGTCCGAACTCGATTTCGATTGAATTATCAGCGGCATCGCATAAACCTTGATTAGTTTCACTTAACCATGGTAAAAGTTCTTTTTTAGCGTCTTCGATCTGAGACCAAATGACAGCTTCTGTTTCATAGATATGTGCATTCTTTGCAGTCTTATCGTGCAGATCTTGCCATTGTTGTTTGGCTGCCTTAACATCGTTGGCTATTTCTTGCGGTACAACCTCACCGATTGCATCAAATAATTTTGCCACATTATTGCCGCGACGCTCTAAGTCATCAAGATTCGTCTTGGATTTACGTATTTGCTCCATAGTTTTACGTGTTTTTTCTGCGGCCTGTTGCAACTCCACCTCGTCGCGTGGTTGCTGTGGTATAGCGTTGAAGAGATCTTCGGCCTTCTTCAGCTCTTTTGAGAACTTATCCTTGGTATCGGCATATTCGCGTAGAGCTTGACTGATCAAATTATACTTTTGTATGCGTTCGGCGATTTCATTCTGTAGCGTGTCATAATCTTTGTCGAAGAATAAAAGACTCTCCTGTATGGCTGGCATACTAGCGATATCTTCACGCATCAATATAGAACCTTCATCATGAAGACGATTCTTCATGTCAGCTTGTCCTTTGACAACTTCATTAAGCGCAATTAAATCGGCTATTATTTGGTCAATGTTATCCAAACCGGGCTTCTGTTTAAGAATGTTATTCAATTTAGCACGATTTTCCAACAACGCCTGCCCGAAATTTTGACCGAGAGTTTGGAATTTCTCTTTGCGTACATTCATCTGTTCTGCCTGTTGTTTTTGTGCTTGAGAACGCAGCTTAAGATTATCTAATTTGTTTTCAACATCATTAACAATCTGTGAAGCAATCAATGGTTTACGTGTCAAAGCGTCGCGCAACTGAATGGCGGGACTTTGATCGATCTCCTTGGCTTGTGCTTTCCAATAACTTATTGAGCCACCAATTGTGTCGATTTCATTGATAATCTTATTAAGCTCTTCAGTCTGCGGACCATCAGGTTTCTCTAGCTGATGTTTCAAATAATTCAGATGACTTTCGGTTTCATTCTTCCAGCCCAGAATCTCTGTCCACTTTTCGAGCGCAATCTTCTTCTGCTGCAAGTTAGTTTCAAGATTCTGATAGTTAACAACCAAACCAGTGTATGAATCATTCAAAGATTTAGCTTCTTCAGCCGGCGCTGAAAGTGACAGCTGCTTAACTTCATCATAAATGGCATTGAAACTGGGTTTCTTGTCGGCGTGCTCTTGCATCAGCGCATGTATTACATGTAGGCTGGTCTCAACGCGCTCTGGATTAATCTCTTCAACTTGTGCGACTTGATTACGCAGCTGATCCATCCAGTTGGAGAAGTTCACCATTTTGGCGTTGAAGTCTTGACGCGCAATAATTGCGTCCGACACTTCGTTGATGTTGGCACGTGTAGCCTCGGATAACTTTTGCAATTTGGCTTTCATGCCATTTACGCGATCTTTGAGCGCAACTGCGCCCTCTGGCGCTAAATGCAAACTTATTTGATCGGCTGACTGACCGAGCGCGACGAGTTTCGCTTGTTGTTCCGAAATTTCATTATTGAACGATTTGAGTTTAACGAGTTCCTTTTCGAGCTTATCAACATGTGGTGTATTGAGCACAGCTGGACGTTTGCCCACCAATTGCTCGCCTTTGTTAACCCAATCTTCGAGTTTGGCTGCATCGGCATCGAATGATTTCCAATTCGCGACCAGTTTTTCCAGCTTACCACTGGCTTGCTTGGCATTTTCATGAACTGATGTCCAGCGAGAGTGCATGGCATCTAACTCGTCAGGGGCATTGGTTTTGCACAGCATTTTATGACTAATGTTTGAAATGCCTTGGAGTCTGTCTAACTGCTCAAGGCATTGTGTTTCGAATTGTTTGGCATTTTGTTGCAATGCAACGGCTTCTTCAAGTGTAATGGGCTTAGGAACTATTGTATTTACCTTGATTTCACTTTCCTCAATAACGGGTTTGATTTGCTGCAAACCAGTTTGATACTGTTGCCAATTCACCAGGTCCTCTTGCACAGCCTTTGCTTGATGATCGACATTGCGGTTGATAGCGCTCAGCACTTCTTGTAGCTTGGTAATTTCACCCTTAAGACGTTTAGCCTCAGCAATATTACCCTCTTTCGGCGCCAGTTCGGCAGCATCCGAAGCCAAAATGTCCAGTTGTTTCATACGTTCGCCAAGTACGCCCTTGAACGCGTTCACCTTCACTACACGCTCCTCTGGTGTGAGATCTTCAGACTGTAATGCCTCAATACTCTTCGGTGCTACACGGTTTGCCCATTCTTGCAACTCAGACAAGCGCGACTTATAATTATTCCACTTGGCGCTATAGTCCTCCAGATAACCAACGCGATCTTTCACATGTTCCATTGTATTGAAGAACATCTTCTCAACCTCAGTTACCTCTTTCTCCAATATAGGACGCTTATCGGCAGCGGCCAATGGCGTCAATTCGGCTTTCAAGGAGTGCAATTTGGGTAACAGTTGATGGGAGGCTTGCTGTAATTGTATATTGAGCTCACGCTTGGCATGCAAATCTTGGCTAACATTCTTCGGGTCGGTCTGCAATGGTGTTAGCGCACGCAACTCCGTTTCCGCTGTCTGCAGCATTGAAAAGATATCGTTCTTCTGATCGACAAAGTCATTCCACACAGCTTGTGTACCCTTGAGGGACTGCAGTTTGTCAGCGGTTTCGGTGTATGCCTCATTCCAGCCGGTTTCCAAGTTCTTCACCTCTACATTAACGAAAGATGGTGCATGCACGTCTTTACTTAAATCACGGCCACGCTGCAACATTGACATGATGTGTGGACGTTGATGATCAAGCTGGCTAATGGCATACTGTTGCTCTTCAATCAGCTTGTTGACACGTTCAAGACTCTCTGGTGGTGGTATATTGGTGGCTTGCTCCTTCACTTTGCTAAGCAGACAGACAACCTCGTGCACCTCACGACGATATGTGTAGCACTTGGAGAACACCTCGGTCTTCACCATTGTTATTTCAATGGTGGGTATGAGGTTCTTATAGCGAGCAATTAGATCTTCGAGTTTTTTCTGTTCGAGATTGGCCTCATCTTCGCTGGCGTAGCTAAGTAAGGAGTCTAGCGTTTTCACCAGCCATTTCATGTCCTCCCTTTTGTTATCTGCTTCTTGACAGATTTTCTGAAAATAAAGCCAATTAAATATTAATGGAATTTCTTAAACAAAATCAGGGTAAATAACAAAAATTTTTAAAATTGGTTATTAGTTTTTACCACAAGTTCCCTGAGCTGCGTTAATGGATTTACAATGAAAATTGTATTAGTATAATGATTCACAATTCGTTTGAGTTTTGCGTATGAAAAAGCTATTCTGTGGATTTCGAAGTACAAAATAGTTTTTGAACGTTTAAGTTACAAAATCTCTTCCAAGTCCACATATATTTTGTTACACGAACAATTGCTAAGTCTTTACCTGGAAGACCACCTTCTCCTTCTCGAACTCCTCCATGCTGTTCACTTCGTTGACAATATTCTTCAAACTCTTATCGACAATATTCATCCATTCAACCATTTCCTTGAACTTTTCATGGTAGCTGTCCCATTGAGCCGGTATTTGCTGCAATGTCTCACGCATGTCGCCGATTTTGCCAGACAATTGCTGCCATTGCAATCTGGCATTGTCATAGGCCTGATTTAGACTAACATCGGTCGGTTTCTGGTAGCCATATGCTTGACTGATGCGTTGCATGTTCTGCAAGCTCTTCTCAATGCGCGGTATGGGTCCTTGTTGTTGGAAGAAGTGCTCATTACGATTCAATATTGAGTCAATATCTTCGTTGCGATTCAAAGCTTGTTGTTCCAGATGCAATTCCTTTTCGACCTCTTGCAATGTCTGATAGAAAGCCGATTCATCCAAACGGAACTCGAGTTTAAGCAAATGCAGTGGTGCTTGTGACAGCACCTGTTGCCACTTGTTTTGTAATTTCTCCACCGAGTCCACCACGGGCTTCTGCTCTTGCGCTGGCAATGTTTTAAGCAAATCTTGTGCAGACTCTACCAGATTGTGCATCCAGCGCTCATTAACATTTTCAAAGAAATATTTCTGGGTCTCAATTATTGTCTTCGACTCAATATGCTTCTCAATAAGCATTGATTCTGCCTGCGTCAGCCACTCACTAACGACACGTTCGTTCTCTTTGAAGGCATGCCAGCCGCGTGAGGCGTCATTCAAGCGCTGCTCCCACTGTTCGGCATTCTGTATGACGTAATTGAAACGCTCGTTTAATTGTTGCATGTTGTGTGCCGTTTGTGAGGTGTCAATATTTTCATCGACGGCGACAGATTTTAATAGGTTTTGGAAAACCTTATTCTTGCTCTCCAGCATAGAACGATAGTAGACAGTGCGCGAAAAGAAAGTTTTATGCTTATTCAGTTCCTCGCTAATAGCATCGCGTCCACCAGACAACGTATGTGTGCTCAACAAGGTCTCAGCGTCGTTAAGCCATTGATGTATTTCCTTCTGGCCCGCTTCGAGTGACTCCTGTTGTATGAGCAGCTGGTGGAAAAGGTGCAGTTTGGCTGGTATTTGCGCGCGTATACGCACTAAAGACTCCTTCTCCTGTTTTAATAACTTCATCATTTTGTCAACTTCTTCGCGTGGTAGATCCTGTATGAGACCCTGGAAGTTACGGCTGACTGTCTTGAAGAGCTCCTCATTATCGTCAATCTCGCTAGCTAACTTTTGCAAGTCCTCACCATATTTGGTAATTTGCTGTGTGTTGCCGAGCATTTGACGCTGTTCCAGCACTTGTTCGGCATGACGCAACCATTGAGAGAGTTTCTCAATACCGGATTTGTATTCATTGCGTGCACGTATAATATCACCTGCGTGCATGTATTGTTTAGTGTTGGCGAAGAGACGCTCAAAGCGTTCCGACAAATTGCCATGTTTCTGGCGTAGATTGTTGGCAATGCCATCTTCACAGGAGGCAATCAAATAGTTGGCCGCATTGGCAAGTGTATCGAATTTGTCCTTCCAAGTGGTGATATCCTGGAAGAATTCTAAACGTTCATCTTCGGAACGTGACAGTTTAGTTTCGGCCAAGTTCAGCCACTCTTCACAAGTAGGCGCCAGTTGATTCCATGTCTTCCAACAGCTTACAACCTCTTCCAGCGAGTTTTGACAACATTTCAATTCCATGGAGACACGCTTCCAACGTTCTTCCGTCTCATACATGAATCGATCGATTTCTGTTATATCATTGCGCGGCACATTGCCATCACGCTTGTATTCGTCCACCACTTGTTGCATATCGATGAATGCTTTCTGGAACTCTTGGAAGATTTTGTTGCGCGACACGAAATTCTTGTATTGTTCCAATTGTTGACTGACCTTCTCCTCGTAGCCATATTTGCCAGTCCAACCCTTCATTTTGTTCTCAACCAAATTGAGGAAAGCAATTAGACAGCACTTGTGTTCGAGGAATTTCAGGCGTATTCTACGCTCAGCCGCCCTCGGTGCCACATCTTGCAGACGACGCTCCATATTGCGCAACTGTTCAATGGGCACTTGTTGCACCAAAGGCGAACGTTTGGCATTATCGAACATCGCCATAATGCGTGGCAAATCAGCAAAGAATAATTTATGCTCCTCCAGCTTTCTACTAATCACCGATGCAGTCTCCTCATTCATGGCGTTCGGTATCGCATTATCCATTAGTAATTTTTCGGCTTCAGCTAACCACTTGCCGACCACACCGAATTCGCCGGGCAATTCCGAATCCAATAACCACAGCCAATAATTCATTTGATATTGTAAACGTTGCCACAGCGCATTTATGTCCTCCCAAACGGGGCGAGGCACTTGCAGGAAACCACTTTGACTATCCATTAACTGCTTCAGACGATTGTAGACCGGCAAGTGGGCGTCGATCTCTGAACGTGCAATCAAATATTCAGCGAAATCACGCGGGAATGAATTCGACATGACCATGGGCTCGTATTCGCTAGTCTTTTCCAACAGAAAGCGACGTAGTTCGTCCAACTCCTGCTGTATATGTGATGTATCACGAGAGGCACCCTGCAAGCAAAGTAAATGCTTAACAACTCTAGTAAGAGCAAAAAAAATTTTGTATTTGCAAATATGTAACTACTCACTTTTGGTTCAGGGTACTTGTGCAAAAATTGCGCCACATATGTCATTATACTCTTTTCATCCGGTTTCGGTACATCCACATCCTCAGCATCCAACAATTTGGCAATGCCCAGTTTGCTTTCGGCCACATCGAAAGCAGTTTCCAGACGTTGACGATTGTTGGTCTTCTTCAAATCAGCCAAATTGACAAGATTCGCCTTAATGGCATCAATCAGTGCTAGGAAGGCGACACCATCTCTCCAACTGGCACCGAAATCCTTTACCTCAATACCGCTGTCTCTGCAGAGGGCACAAAAAATGTTTGAAGATTAATATACATATATGTTTTAGTTCAGTGTGTGTAACTTACTTTGGCAAGGCATTGGTAACCCAATTCAATAGAGTCTTCCTAGCACCTTGCTTCCATTTCTCAGCCTTTTGATCACTGGCATTCTTGCCAACACTGTCGAGAGAACTAACCGAACCGCTGATACCATGACCCAAATATTCAAGGTTGCGGCTGTTCTCCTCAATCTGTTACGGACGTGTGCAAGGAAAGTAAAGTTGTAATACAAATAGTTGCGCAAGAAATTATGACAAATAAGTAAATGTTTATAAATCTAAAGTAGCCTCAGAATGAAAATAATTCTTAAAACAATAGTTATAATAAAAATTCGTAAATTTCAAAAATATTATAAAATTAAGCTTAAGTTCAATTAAAAGTATTGAATTCAAAAAATGTTCGTGATTATCGTTACTTTTTAACACGAATCAAAAAATTCAAAAAATGTTTTACAAAAATAGATGAACTTTAAATCATAACTGCGTGTGTGGCATGTGCAATGTTTATGCTTCAACCGATATTAAAAAAAAGCAAATATTATCAATTCATACATCTACTTCGAAATTTTCATTATTATATCATTACAACAACCAACTGCTACAAACCTACCTGTGGCGCATAATTTATTACTACTACTAATTTTTTCCGCCTCTTCTTATGAAGCTTGTTTGTTAGCAAAAAAATAATTGCGAAAAAAACAAATCGTTCGAAACGAAAACGATTTTCAAAAAGATTGAAAAAGATAGAAAGGAAAGAAGTACACATAATTGTTTACGCGATTATTACTTTTGTAATTTGTTGCTTTACATAAATACATAAAAGTTTAAGTTGGTGAAAGTATCAATAATAATAAAGTGCGCTATTTACCATATACAAAGGTTAAGCGAAAGGGAATATTAAAAAAAAGTGTTCAAATTCACAGCTAACGCAATCTAATTAAGCTAATGGATAAGTGGAAGTCAATTCAAGTTTTTGACCCTACGATTTTTGAGAAACGTGCTGGCCTGTGGCTATTTTCCAAATACAAGAATTGCATTTAAAGTCAAAACAGCGAAGGAAAATACCATAACAAAGTCTGTTATTGATGCGAATAAGATCTGGAAGACTATATCCAACTTGCAACGTTGGTGCCGTTTACAAGCTTTAGACAACACAACTGCATCTCGGAGGCCATATTTCGAATTATTCTACTCCATAATCAATAATTTCAGACCATAATTTAGCACTTGCATTCAGACACTGGAAAATATTTAGCTTCAAGGAAGGATAAACTGCTCTGCACTTAATTATGCATATGTATTGTAGGATCTCGAAGTAGTATAAAGCAATAAACCACCGGTTGTACTACCGAGCAATCTCTTTATCATTAAACAATGAACTTGAGCTCACTAACCGTGCGTTCAGAGCTGGTTATGAAATGCCTAACTTCGTTATCAATGGCATCGAGTCGATTTGTGATAAGACTACAATAGTATGAGTGCCAGGCGACAGCAGATCTCTAGATCAGCCATCGAACCTAACCTAACCCAATAATGAATTGCTCCGGCTTTGAAATAGATGCAGTAGCTATCCAGATTTTAAACTAGTAGAACCATAGCTCGAGTCAAGAGATCGTCTCTCAAAACGGTATCTGAAACTATAAAATAGTATCTGAAAATATAAATAGTATGCATAACAAGGAGGTAGTGAGTGACATACATATTATATTAAGGTTAGGTTAGAAGAAACCCACAATCAAGGCAAAGTAACCGCTGAGAAAAAGAAAGCCTTCTTGTTCTGACAAAGAGTGTGCTCACAACTAAAGAATATGTTTATATAATATATAAAGATAGCCAAGCGGCTTTGAAATCACTAAAGTCTCTTAGGGTTTCATCAAAGATAGTGAAAGAATGTATTGATCTCTTAGTGGATCAAACATCCTACTTCACAATAAACTAGCAATGGGTTACAGAACATAGCGATATTCCTGGTAACTGTGAAGCAGAGATCCACCACCCTACAATTAGCCGCCGGAAAAGAGGGAATTTATTTGCCGCTGACTACTTGCAGATATTTAATGTATAATATAAGCGTGTTATAAATAGCTAAAGTTATATATCGCTTAATCTCGGTAAAGTCAATCCCTAACATGCTTAATAATCAGGCAAACGTATGTAAATAGAATATGGGCCGCACATACCGAGATATTGAAATTCAAAAGGAATGAGGGCATGTCAGCAGTCTGGAAACATCATACAATGATTATTGTAGAAGCCGTCAGGAGGTAGAATAAGTGGAGGTTATAACCTCCAGGAAAAGGAAAAGCATCGCAACGATCGGTCGAGGGTTTCTTGACGTTGTATCGGAAATTGCACAGATAAAACTATTTGTATTGATGAACTTCAAGAGAAACACGGGTTGATTCAGAGAGGGCATAATAGGGTGAAGAGATTTTAGTCCCGGTGGCTTCGAAATAAGGCGCTTAAAGGTACAAGTGCCTCGTCAGGCATCTATTCTACCTACCTACCTAATCCCTAATCAAGATTGAAAATTAGAATATTTTATATCAGACCTTTTGTAAAACATATTTAGTTTTCTTATAACTATGGTATTCAATTATACAACTTATATTTTAGTATACATGTGAAGAGTGCAAATACAGGGTGCCTTCAAAATTCACTAAAGTACACACTTTAAAGTTGAATGCTAAAATTATGTTCTTCACTCCAATATATAATATATACATATATATTTACATTTGTAGAATTTTATTAAGTATACATACATATATAGTAATTTTAGCGAAAACATAAACTTACCTGGAAGTACAATATGATGGTCCATATCAGACCCAACACAACTGGTGGTCTCCCATCCACCAAATCTGCCGGGTTGATATTCACCAATTTGATGCGTTTACTAGCTAAGAATTGTAAGGCTGTATTGGCATTGCTGAGGAAATGCGGACGTCGTAGAACGCGACCCTTCTCCACGGGCAAACGTTCGCCGGAAAGCACTTCCAAAAGTGCAATAAGTTTGGTACCGTCGCGTAAATCGTTGATTAAATCGTCAACACGAAGCGGTGGAACACGCTAAAACATGAAAAAAATACAAGCAGACACAGACACAATTAAATTAAATGGTGTGCAGAGAAACATTATAATTACTAAACAGAAACATTACAATATCTTACATGTATACCTATGTGCATATGTGTGTGTGTGTATGTGTAAGTGCTTAGTTTGCTAAGTTAGTTTCTTAAGTATATTTTGTTTGGCACTTAAGTTGAACCGACAACATTTAACGGCATTCTTTGTGCAACTCCATAATGATAAAACAATAAAAGAGATCACGTGACTTATTGACATGAAAAGCATAACGCATACACACACACACACTTGTGAACACCAGTTATGCAGCGCATACTACAAAGTTGTTAGCCAAGTTGGCGAAGTATGCAAATTGCATGACGGAAGAGACAAATTAGACATGCTTCGTGCAAAATACGAATGCATAATAATCGATGTAACGGTAAATACGCATTGCAATGCGTAGTGTACAAACAAAGAGCGCACAAACTTTTGCTAAAGTTCGCTTAAGAAATGTCTAATTGCCGGCGGAAGTGGGAGGCCTACAAATATAAGGAAATAAACACGCCCATATGTACATATATATAGTATGCAAATATATTACACAAATACTTGCGCACGCATATATACTCACAGGCGATTGTACATACATACATATGTATATACTCATATACTTTCGCGTTAAAATCATAAATCGTGTGGCTACTAACACGAATGATTGAAATGCATCAATAGACTTACTTAACGCACATTTATTTTCAAAACACAACAAAAGGAACAAAAACAAATCCAAAATTAGGATTTCAAAAATTTTATAGCACCGGCATTCATTGAAACTGAGTTGGGCTACATAAATCAACGAAAAAGCGACAAAAGCCATGGCAGTCGCTGGCGCGCCGCACGACGTGCTCACCTTGAACTCATCCATAAACAAACTGCAAAAAAGTGAAAAAAGCAAAACCCAAAAGCAATAAAGACGCGTCATATTTGTTTTTGTTTTTGGGTGTGTTTGCTTGGATTTTATAGTTCAAACAAATCACCGCACAACTGTCAAGCTATGTAAACATTTAACAACAACAACGCGCACACATTCACACACATATATATTATAAAGGTGTGTGTAATCAAAACAAAAGCTTTTTTGTAGTGCAGCTAATTTTTAATCACATTTTTGTAGTTTGTTTAACATTTTCATAAAAAGAAGGTGGCAGAAGAGCAGGTCCGCTCAGACGTGTTTAAAGAGACATATCGTACATATGTATGTATGTACTCATTTGTGCGTATATGTAGGTATATATGTATATACAAAAATGCTATCAAACAATTAAATGTGTGCAGTTCGCAATTAGTTTATTGTTATGTCATTGTTTGTGCTTGTTGTTGTGGTCAACTAAAATTTGCTATTGAATTTATTTAGTGTCAATTATATGCATGTTCATATACATACACAATTTGCATTTGAAATTTGAGTAGAGTAAATTTATTTGATTAGCAAATTTAGTCACTTAATATACATACATACATGTGTATATGGTGTATCTTCATATGTAAATGTTATAGGCAAACAGCTACTAAAGCCCCTGCAGGCAATTTTCGACGTCGAGAAATATATTTAATTTTATTTTATAAAACGATTGCATTTCAAGTTTTATTTTAAAATATAAAATGAATAAATATTACTAGATACTCTTTCCCCACGTACGACGGGAGACATTTACAAACTGTCATATTACCCAGCCAGAATGGCAGTCTCGTGTTCAGCCAAGAAATTGTTACCAAAGCGTTTAGTAGTTTCAAACCTTTAAAGGTCTGCTACGCGGACCATTCCGGCTAATAGGAATGCCCTTTTATACACATACAAATCAAGTATGAGGCAATGCTTACTGCCAGCCGACTCATGATTTTATGCGATTGGAGCCAGACTTGGCGTCACTCAGGCTAAATTGGCAATGCGACCGAGAAGAGCAGACCCACGAGGTATTAAAAACATCATTTTCATACAGCTGTAGAAGAGAATGAAGCAATGCTTATGTGATCGACAGAGCGGGCTTCTTCTGTAGTCATTCATACACAAAAGTTAGCTTCAAACTAAATGACTACAATTCAGTCTTTCAGGCCGAAATTGTGGGCATAACAGAAGTTCCCAAGTGAGCTTCTGCTCTAACCAGCAAGTCCATAAACATTCTAGTGGATTTCCAAGTGGCAATTAAGACTATACATAGCGCCAATACTAAGTCTCATAGCATTAGGTTATGCAAGCAGGCAATTAATAGACTCTCAGCAGGTAGGAGGGACAGCTGGAAACACAATTCCCTTAAGCTTCCCTAAACCAGTCAGCTCCCTCAAGGTTTGAGATCCACAAAGTTACTTTGCGGTAGTGTTTTTGGTGGACAGAAAAGCGCCTACTTCTAGGCAAACAACTTAGTCACATGGTGGGGGCATCAAAGGGCACCTACCCTTAAGATTCCTTTGTTAGATAATGGGAAAAGTAGATTCGGCGGATTGCAGAACATGCGCGAAGGATGATGAGAGGCTGGAACATTAACTATGCGAATGTCCAGCCTTCTGCCGGATGAGGCAGGATATATTCCATTGCTCGCAATGCCCCAACATAAGAACAGCTGGGGTGGAAAAAAATCTATTTTTTTACCAAATACACTGAGTTGCTGGATAAGGCTTAATTTGGCTACCAGCCAGGACCTAGGATGGTCGCCCGCGGTCTGGCACTGCTTCGCCTCCCTTTTCAACCAACCAACCAAGCTTTATTTTATTGAAAAGGAAATTTAAATACATAATATACGACTGTAATTCGTTTTAGGAAGCACTGAGCATAAAAAATATTTTCAATAAAATTTTAACATTTTTTAAGAACTTTTTTTAATTTTCTAATCTATATATCTGGGTTTATTCCTATCGTGCCTTGGCTGTCAACAAAAAATACTTACAGTTGCTATAATTTAGCTATTTGCATATAAAACACTTTTAAAACGATTACGATATTAATTGATATCCCTACAGGGTTATTCTTGTATATGCCAGCAAATAAATTTTATTTATATTAAAATATTTGAATTCGTTTATATGATTGTCTGTTTATCTACGTCAGTCGTATGACCTTAATTTAGCGTTATATACATGGTTTCCATGCGAAAAAAATGTGCATAAAAGAAAATAGTAGTCAAAAGTTGCCTAATATTTTTTTCTTTAATAAATCAGTGTACAGCGATAGCGATGTGCCACTTATCTATAAGTCAATTTAATTCAGATTTAAAAAAAATCATGAATAAGTATATAATTACAAATACAAAAATTTTTTACTGGAAATTTTAGAAAAATATTGAATGTATGGTACTTAAATAGGTGGCTCTAGTAACGCCTGAAAGTATGCTATCGAAATGGTGGCACTGATAAGCTTTAACGCGGACTTTAACCCTTATGTGGTACATGTGGCATTTTGTGCCATAAATGATATAAACAACTAAAAAAACGAAAAAAAGAAAGAGGCAGGCTGTTTGGTTTGAGCAACAATAATCCATAAGCAATATTTTTACTATATATTTTATTATATATCTATGTTCACTTCATAAAAATTTCGATAGAAATAAAAGGTACGATTTGTCAAAAAAAAAACCAATACAAATAATCTACTACGATATAAATTACTTTGATAATTTATTATGTATTCCAATGATACGATACGTAAAAATAATATCAAGACTTTAAATTAAAACAATAAACACTGAAGTCACAAAATCTGCGTGTACATGTGTAAATTCAGTTTGTGGGCTCGGCTTATCCAGTTATCAAGAAAAACTTGTCTGCCATCTTCATTTCGCCTGGGCGGTAATGTCAATAACAGCTTATAACCAAAACAAAAATGTTGCAATTTATAAAATCGTATTAACGAAACCAGAGGAGAAACCACCACACGCTGTCAGTACTTTCTTCTTTCTCGTTCTTTTTTCTATATACACCAACGCAAAAATGTGTGCCTAAAAAGAGTGACCACTCAACTCCTTTCGAACCAGAACAAATGACAGCAACTTTGCAAAAACTTGTCCATAAAATTTTTAATAACACATCACAACAAATATGTACATAACTATGTAATTTTGTCTATCCATGAGTAAATATTTTCATACCACAAAAGCGAATGCTGCTTGTGGCATTTACCGAAGCAAATTAATATGCGGTTTGCCACAAACCAAGCTCGGATTAATGCGTATAAGCGTTAACGAGGATAGTTCATGGAGTGCTTACGAAGCTGGAATTGCAGTAAAATATAAAAATGCAAAAAAATCGTTGTCATTTTAGTTTTTGTCATACATATAAGCTTATTTTTTTATCGATTTTTTGTTATCGAGTTTTTGCAGTTTTCTTATATACAAAATAATACTAATTTCCTAGGAATATGTTGGGTAATGGGTCAGTTTCTAATGAAAATCGTATAACTACTATCACCAATAATAAATTTGTCATATTCAAGGTTTCGAATGACGTCATATTCGTACCAAACGAAAAACTATCGCAATGACATTGTTTACAGAAATATCACTCTTATGCCCCTTTAAAGTTTCCGAATTACAGTTTGAAGAATCCAGATTTCAGCTTAGATTACAAAATAATCACTTACGTTTAGCATCTTCTACTATATCTTCGATCGACTGCTTACCTTATCGCACATTTTTAAACCCTCAACGAGTATAAGATAAAACCTGTGTGCTACGAAGTTGGTAACAACCATAATAAAACATCGAAGAAATCCCTTTCTTTCTAAAGAGCTACTCATTTGTCGTAATCGCCTATTTCGGACCATTATGGCATACAGCTGCCATACAAACTGACCGATCCAGATTAACTCCTTATATAGAAAACTTTTTTATTTGGTAAGATATCTTCACAAAATTTCGTATGGATTATTCTCCAAAACAACGATACAATATCCGAACAAATTGTTAAGATCGGCTCACTATGGCATATAGCTGTCTTACAAACTAAACGAA